CACCTCCTGATATCTAGTCTGAATCTCCCCTCTGCCAGCTTGTGACCGTTATTCCTGGTCACTCCTGGTTGTGCTTGGGGGAACAGGGACTCCCCCAATGCCTGCTGGTCCCCTCTGACTAGTTTGTAACAGGCCACTAGATTCCCCCCTCAGCCTTCTCTTGTGGAGGCTGAACAGGTTCAGGTCCCGTAGCCTCTCCTCATAGGGCCTGTCCTGCTGCCCCCGATCATGCGAGTGGCCCTCCTCTGGGCCCTCTCCGTGTTATCCACATCCCTCCTTGAAGTGCGGCGCCCAGAACTAGACGCAGTACTCCAGCTGCGGCCTGATCAGTGCTGCATAGAGGGGGAGTATCACCTTGGACCTGCTCGAGATGCATCTGTGGATGCATGACAAGGTGCGGTTGGCCTTCCTGACCGCGTCCCCACACTGCAGGCCCATGTTCATCTTGGCATCAGTGATGACTCCAAGGTCCTTTTCTGCCTCTGTACTGACGAGAAGGGAGTTCCCCAGCCTGTAGCTATTGTGCTGGCTCTTCCTCCCCAGGTGCATCACCTTACACTTGTCAGTGTTGAATCCCATCCTGTTCTCATCCGCCTACCCCGTAACCTGTCTAGGTCCGACTATAGCCTATTCCTTCCTTCTAGCATGCCCACATCCCCTCACAATCTTAGTGTCATCAGCAAATTTGAACAGGGTGCTTTTTACCCCCTCGTCCAAGTCGCTGATGACTTCATTGAGATGAGCTCCACCTGCATTGGGGGGGGGCATCTTGTCACTAGTCCAAGAGACCTTTTTCTTCTGCTGAGCAATCAAAATGTCTTCTCAAAGCACATCAGTTTAACTAAAAAGAAACCCAACCTCTTTCTCTCTCGCTCATCTGTTTAAAGCAGTGCAGGGAAAGCTGTGTGTCCTATTTTTCAGCAAGAATGATCGTTGCAGTGGGCTTAAGCTACCAAGTAAAGCAGCAGAATCTCTGAGCTTGGCTGCTTATCTGGAAGAGATGCTAAAGTCAGGTGGTAGCAGGAGTGAAATGCCCTGGCCTGGGTCATGCAGATCAGACTAACTGATATAAAGGTCCTTTCTAGCTTAGAACCACAGTCTTTTCCCACCTGTTTGTCAGCCTTGCATAATACAGTGCCCACTCTCTCTCCCCTTCCTCTTTTCCCACCAGGTTGCCCGCCCACTGCAGAAGCCTTGCTGTATGGAATCCTGCAGCTTCAGAAGAAAATCAAGCGGGAGAAAAGGGTTCAGCTCTGGTACAGGAAATAGCCTCTTTTTATTTATGACCCAGCTACTCATGCTACTCTGACAAAGCACCTGTGTTACGCACATCACAGCTATATTCTGCACAAGCTTTGTAATAAAGTGTTGCCTCTTTAATTGACCATTGTCTTTAATGCTGTCATTCGGTTACTTAAAAAAGGGTCCTGGCCGTGACTGAAATGGCTGGGAAGTATTGAGGCTGAGAGCTGGCCGTTGTCTGGGTTAAATGGCTCGTGTTGAGAGGGGAGGGCGACTTTTTTTTTTTTTCATGAAATGATTATCTGCTCTTATGAAACAAACAAACGTACTCGGCAGAAGACAGGAAGGCTGCAAGTGCCCGCTGCTTTTGGTGGGGACCGTAGGTTCTCGGGATCATACTCTGAGGCTGCAGGGTGGTTCAAGTGCAAGAATGGGAGCCCTGGCAGTGTTTGGACAGACCTGAGCATGGCAGCCTGCCTGGCCTGGAAAGCTGCTGCAGATACACAGGCAAGCGTCAAGCTGTCAGAGCTTTGTGTGCCCTTCAAACCTCTGTTGCTTAATGATTAAAAGCTTTATATTGCCCTTGCATAGATGTGTTATTCTTTTTTTCCCTTTTCCTCCAGTGAGATCAGGACTGACCTGCCTTGGCAGCTTCTCCACAGGCAAGATGCTTCTGTAGCAAGTCTCATGCTTGCTCTAACCCAGGCTGCCAGAAATCCCATCTCTCAGCAGCCTGCCCGGCTCTGTGCCTGCAGGAAGCACGGCTGTGGGCAGACTTGAATCAATGGGGCGCTTTTACATTCTTCAGTACATTCTAGCACTCCTGGTTTCCTCCCATGAACCTCTTTAGTCTGTGATGCTTATATCTTAAGGGATCGTGCCCCCTCTCCCCAGCTTTCATTCTCAGTCTTACCTTAGCTTGGTCTAATATTTCCTGCTAACTAGAACTTTTTACTTTTTTCTCTGAACTCCCTCCTGCTTTGATATCCTGGAAACAAGGTGCCCAGTACAGTCCTCTGGAGACGGTAGCACTACAGTCACTTGTTTCCTTGTTCCACGTGAATGCATACAGCACAGCTAAGTCTTATGCCTGCTTTATGCCGTGTCATTCCTTATAAAGTCACTATTTTTATGCCACAGCCTCTGGCACCACCAATAATGTCCCACTGACTGTGTGAACCCACAGATGTCTCTTGAAAGTGGAGTTCTCTGGAGCAGGAATCCCCTTTATGTTCTGCCCAGCACCCAGGCCCAGGGCTGTGACTGGGTCTCCTAAGGGCTGTGACAATACACGTTTGCTGTAGGCACCTGCTCCATGTAGAACCTTAACCCACTGTGTTACAGAAAGGGTGCTGCCCTCAGATGGGGGAAGGAGTGCGTGCTGCTTCATGGATCATGAAAGACTGGAAAAACGTAATGAGATGAGTGCTAAACTCCAGTGAGCCAGCCATGATGGGGACCAGAAGCGGTGCTGAGTTGTGCATGCATTGGAGGGATCAACATAAATGACTCCAAAGTCTCTGCTGTAGATTTCCAAGACAATTTAATGTCTCCAGTGTTTGCATGACTGGCAGATTGCCCACCCTTTCTATACGGAGCGGGGTAATTATTCATGCAGTAATAAACTTCCAGGAAGGTCAAAAGAATCTGTTACCAAAATCTGATTAAAAACAGGGCATTAGGCAAAAAAAAAAATGATTTGCAGAGACCTATATGGAACCCTGCTCTGGGAATCGACCCTGTCGCATTTTAATTACAAAATGCAAATGTGAAGGCTCTTGACATTAAAATGCGGGGAGGAGGGGGGAGTCAGCTGGCTTGGGGAAAGCTAAGTGTCTTTTTTTTTAGTTTTTAAAGGATCCTGGCCTCAGCAGCTTCTGGATTTGTTTCCCTCCCTTTCTCCAGCCCCTTTATCCGAATCACCTGCTTGCTCCTGAATTCTACTGAAATCTGTTTTTACAGTATCTACTGCCAGGCTTTAACAGATGCTGGTACCTGCCTGTGATTCTGAGCCCAGATCTCAGAAGGGGCTTGCCCGGGGGCCAGCTGAAGGCCCTCCCCACTTCTGTCCCAGTCCTCTTTATCCAGGGATCTCTAAAGTGAACCAGGAGGGGAACTGAGGCACCGAGCTGAGCAGGGTCCTGGATCTTGCTCTGGTACCTGCTTCACTGGTGAAACCCCTGGTTGCAGGCGCCAGTTCCAAGCAGGCTTTCCCCAGCCCTTCCTACCCCCGTCATTGATCTTTCCTAGTGAGTACCCAAGATGAGGAGCATTTCCCCTTCTCCCTGCAGTGTAAATGATCAGTCCTGGATGTTGGTTCTCTCTTCCCCGCAGGATTCACTGCTTGATAATGGTGGGTGTGATCATCTTGGGGAAGGCGTAGTACCTGCAGTCCTGGGGCGGGGTCAGGTCCATCACTGCTGTGCTGATATTCTCCCTCTTGAACCCAGCCTGGACCAGGTGCCCGACCTGAGTCTCCTGTGGCGGGGGGAGGGGAAGGATGGGCTCAGCATCCGAACCCACATGAAGGCCCAGTCCCTCCCCACCAAGACTCAGGGGAACACAGTCTGGCAACAGCCTGACCTTGGCCATGTTGCTTCCCTCCCAGCACCTCTCTGTATCGGTATGATGGATCCTGTCCTCCCATGCAGCTGTCTGGAAGGTCCTGCTGGAAAGACCCAGCAGCTCTTAGCAGCGGTGGATGGGATCAGGCCTGGGAGGCGCTGAGGTTCAGTTCTGTGCCTGTGCACCATGCTGCTGATGCCGGGGGGCATGGGGTGGGGCTGTGTGCTGCAAGCCCTGTTCCCTCCAGCAGATATTGGGACCACGGGGGATCACAGCATACGTGGGGTTCGGCCCCCCCTGCCCCAAGCTGTGTCCCTGAGCTGTTCCCCCTCACCTCAAACATCTTCTCGATGTCTGTGTACTTGGTCTTGAGCAGCTCCCCCCATGATGTCAGGTTGCAGTAGGTGAGGACGCCACCGGGCTTCAGCAAGCGGAAAGCATGGCTCTGCAGGACAGGGAGGGGAGCGGGGTCAGGGATGCCCCCCCAGCCACTGCCAGCTTTCCCCAGACACTGTCTGCACTGGGCTCTTCCCCTCCCACCCGCAGCTCCCTACCCACTTTGGATTGTGCCTGGAAGCATTGATTTTTTTTTTTGATTGCTAATATTTATTTGTCCCTCTCCCACAATGAAGTTCATGGCTGTGATGTGAGGACAAGTGAAGCCTGATAGAAAACGCTGCCTGGAAGCCACGCCGTGCCCCTGGCAGCTTTGCCCTGATCAGAGAGGCTGAGTCTCCCATTGTGTTGCTCAAATCCCAATCCTGCCAACTGGTGAGTGTCCTTGCTTCCCCCTGCCAGCCAAGGAGGAGAGGGGGCCACGGAGGAGGCAGTCAAGTCTGCTCGTTGAGGCTGTGAGGCCGCAGCTCTTTACCTTGATGAAGTGGAATTGATGAGTGTGCCAGGTCTCTGCGGACAAGGGGTAGGTGTCGTACAGGATGCCTGTGTGGGAGGAAGGGGGAGGACTCATCAACTGTGCAAAATGCACCACCACCATCTGGGCCTGTTCGCTGGGGCGAGGCCTTGACCAATGCAGGCAGGGAGGTTCAGGGGATTCGGGCCCCAGGCTGGGGGTTGGGAGAGCTGGGTTTTCCAGAGCCAGGCTGTGCTGACTCCTGTGATGGTTTCTGTCCCTAAGGGCCTGGCTCTGAGGGTCTCGGGGATGGAGGGTGCTTGACAGGGTCCTCTGAGCCTGCAGCCTCCTCTCTCACAATCCCACGGCCCCTCGGGGTTTGTTCTGCCTCTTCTCCTTACCATCAAAAAGTCCATCCGGCAGCGTGGGGGCCACATCTTCCCACAGGCCCCTCAAGGGGACGACCTGCAGGAGACCAGACGGGGGGAAGTCAGCACGTGGGGCAGAAGGGCACGGGCTGCTTGGTGAGTGGCCAAAGCGAGAATGGATCCACTCCCTTTCCCTTCCTTTGAAGGAGTGAAAGATGCAGGGATGATTTAATGGGGGCATGCTAATAAGCAGCTCAGCTCCAGGGAGGTGTGGGAGGTGTCTGCCCTCTCCCTGCCCCTGGGGTAAAGTTTCCCTAGCAGGAGGGTGGCACTGAAGTCACTGCTGAGCTGTCTCTGTGTGTCCAGAGTGGATTCCTCCTCCCACTCGGGGGAATCAGTGGAGCAGGAAGGGGCTGAGCAGAGCTGAGCTGGTGGCCCTGGACCTTGGGTGCAACTCGTGCCTCGCCTGTCTTGTGTCCTCTTCGCCGCCCCTGTGCCCCTTGGTGCCTCATCTGCAATACAGAGCTGATGCTTTGGGTGCTGGGAGGGCAGTATCCTTGGGGCCGGCGCTGACGGCCATGTGAGGGCAGGGACACAAGCAGAGGGTGAGATGGGGCCACATCCACTGCAGCGGAGCTGGGCAGGACTCTGCATTTCTAACTGCCCCTCCCCGCCACAGCCAGAGCTGCTTCTACCTTGTGGGGCTGTTTCTTGGCCCACTCCTCTAGCCTCTTGAAGACGCCCTCATTGCATTCAACGATCCAGTGCTCCTCGATGTTGAACTCCTCCACTTTGCTGGCGGCAATGGCCATGCCGAAGCCCACTTCCAGCACACGGCCCCCTGCGGAAAGACGAAGGCAGGTCACTGCTCAGCTGCCCATACTGCCTGGTTCCCAAGGGGCCGGCAGTCCTGGTAATGGATGGGACTGTCCTTTCCTTGGTCATTTGTGCTCAGAGAGAGCCTGGGGAGTCAGAGTCTTTCGCTGCCTGGCTGCTGGCTCGGATCAGGGCCAGGCTGCTAGCAACTAGGATCCATCATCTCTGGGCTTCCTCATGCGGGAGGAAATCTGCACCCCACAGGCTGCCCCACCTGCTTCTAGCTGCCCCCGTCCCCCACCTTTCTGGGCTGGTCATTAAAGCTGCTTCTCTGTTGTCCTGGGAGAAGGGAACTTCCCCAGTCACTTTCAGTTTTGCTTCTTATTACCTTCCCTTTCTCTTCTGTAGCCCTTCCCAGCTGCTTATCTCCAAGCAGGTGAAAATCCGACTGAAATTCATGGGACAGACCAGCTGCTTCATGTCTGGGCATGTGTGTGCTCGCTATTGGGGGTGGTCGCACGCGCTGAATAACACTGCAGCATTTGGGGAAGCAGGAGCTGCCAGCTGAGGGTTTACACCAACAGGAGCAGACAACAGATAGGAAAAATCAATGGGTCTGTTCCAAAGGCAGCTGACCCAGTAGCCGGTGTCGGACTATAGCCAGCCCTGGGGCTTCACAAGGGTCCCTGCATTGGACAGCAACGGAAGAAGCTGTTCACCCGGAATGGTTTTTCCCAAGTCCCTGGAGGCAGGTCAGTTAGTGGTGGAGTGCGAAGGGGTTAGGTCCTTCCTAACCTGACAAACCTCTCTGTTTTTCCTTCAGCTAACTTAAAAAAATGGATTTCAAACCACTAAAAACATCCCAAGTAACCTGAAACAGCTCCAGGCAGCCTCGGACCCTTCTTTATGCAAACCCAGCCTCCACCGCCTCTCTGCTGTGAACCCCTGGGGTGGTTTCTCCGGTAACAAGGAGCTGCCTGGAGAAATGCAGCGTGCAACCTCTGTCTGACTTGACCCCAAAAACTTTGGGCCCGAACCAAAGCTTGCCGAAGGTTTCCAGTGACCTTTGTCAGGACTTGGATTAGGCGTTTGCTTTGCAACCAAGAGGCAGAGTCCAAAGCTCTGGGAGGGCAGCTAAGGTTTGCAGGCGTTTAGCCGTTCCCTGGGTGCCCAGCGAAGGCCTCCCATCCCCCACGGCTTGGCCTGCAGCTGTTTGGAACTGTATCTTGTGTGACACAAGAGCACAAGTGTTTCGCACACTCACTCCCTCAGCACAGCTATTCTTAACCTCAGCTCCAGCAGGGCGAATGGCTCCGCCTGCCTTCTCCAGCTCAGCTGTGCGTTGTGCGATGGGGAGCGTGAGCATGCAGAGAAACCACAGGGGCCACTCTCCTAACTTCAGCTTGGAAAGTGCCTGCTGGCCTGATGTCATGATTTTTTAATGCTACCTTCAAAGTGGGGCAGAAATCAAATACTGGAGAGGGGCTGAGAGAACACCAGCCTCCAAAACCAAGCTCTCGAGCCTGTCTCCGGACAGTTGGGCTGTGTTTAATGTCTTAGTGAGATGTCTTGAATCGCTGCCCAGTTGTACTTAAAATGCTGTTCTGCCTCCAGACTCCCTCACAGAGAATCAATCTAATAAAAAGCCAAAAAAAGGCTTGTAGCTCATTCTATTTATGCCGACAGCAGAGCAGAGCTGCAGGGGCAAAAGCTCCCCAGGAAGGTTCAAAAATACCTCCCTTGGGCCCCCTGCTAGGAGCTCAGCTGCTTGTTCAGTGCTGCTTGTTCCCAGCACTTCATTTCTGGATGGGCCAAGTCCAGCTCCTGCAAGTGAAGATGGACCCTTCCCTCTCCTCTGCCCTCTCACCCCAGCGACTGGGGAGGGAGGCTGCTCGCCGGGCTTTGTAGGAAGTCCAGCGCGTGCTCCTCCATGCATGCAGGCTGCGCTTTATCGGCTGCATGGCTGAGAACACGGCATGACATTAATTCCCAGGCCAACTTACTCTGCAGCCGTCAGCCTTTGTTAGCCGGCTGTTATTCGGGAGTGCACAGGAACTAGGAACATGGGTGGCCCAGCCCAGCTTATCTCGCCAGCCATAAGGATGAGGCCCATCGAGACGGGCCCCTTTTTATAGCTGATGCTGAGAATACAGGGAAAAAAGCTTTCCATTCAGCTTTTGACAACTCTCCTCCTGCCCCCCAAACTTCTTGCTGCTGTCCACCCCCCCCACACCTTGCAACGAACTGGGTTCTCATTACTTAATTACCTTTGGATGCTGCAACGGTAGCCAGCGAATGCATGTAGGGGGTCTCCCACCGCTCCATCACTGGCTTGCCCAGGATCTTCAAGTGTGTGTCTGTCTGATTGTAGCCAGCCTCGGCCTCCGTCCATGATGGCTTGCAGTTCTCTCCCTGGTGGAAGATGGGACTGGCAGCCTCCGAGGAGCTCATGCTATTGCAGTTCTCACCAGGGAGGACTGTCCGGTGGGAGAAGCGGGGAGAGGAAGGAGTCTCCTCTGCCCTTGACTGGCTTTATATAGGCAAAGCTGAAAGAGCTGAGTGTGCAAATAGCAACAGGGCCTCCTTCTGGGTAAAAGAGATCTCTTATCTAGGCTGCTGAACCTGAACAGGCACTCTGCAAACAGGGGGAAGAGGAAGGCAGACGGCTGCAACGAGGGGGGACATCTACTGCTGCCTGGGAGAAATGCATTACTGCAGACCCCTGGCAGAGCAGGAGCAGGTCGCAAGAGCCGTGTAAAGCTTAAACAAAGCACTCCCATCTGCTCTGTCGTCAGAAGAGAAGAGGCCCGTGAGGCCAGATGCACAATTGGCCTGTCTTGCTGTCTGCAATGCATGCAGAACCAGCGCAGGCTGGGTACAGCCTAGGACTCTTCCCAGCAGCAGGACCATGGAAAGGACGCAGAGAGTGAACACGGCTTTGAAACCTTTCTTCATTCTTCAAGCAGCGACTGGGGCCTCTGTTGAATGCGGAGACTTGGCAGGTTTGGAAAAGCCTGAGTGAATGAACGTTGGATGCCAGGCAACGGCTAGCGGGAATCGATGCCTCAGGAGCCAGGTCCTGCGTCGTCTGCCTTTATCCTGCCTGTTTTTCCATGCAGGGCACGTGTCAGACATGATGGACATGTGTTAGGAAGAGTCCTGTGCACTTCTGTTGGTCATTCCTAGGAGGTGGAGGGGCCGTACCACTGGTTCACACATGGGCTTGATGGTCTCACCTTGAACCCGTGGGGCAGAGGTTCCTGTTACTCTAACCTTGCTCCATGTGCGCACAACAGTGACTGCACAAGATCTGCCCATGCCCATCCCATGCTAGGGTACCTCTGGCATCCCTCCGTCCCTGTGGATTTTTTTCTGCTCTGAAAGCAGTCGGTCTTGGGTGCCTAGCACTCATGCGAACCAATGCTGCCGAGATCCTTTTGGGATGTGGCTACAGCCACTAGATGTCTCTGCTACTCTTCCCTGATGCTGCTAGGAGTGAGACAGGGGGATCCAGGGGGCTTGACAACTTGAGTGGGTAGAAGATTAGATTTCCTGGAAAAAACAACAACCCTTGGGAGGCAGATTTTTAAACGCTTCATTGCAGTGCATAGGAGCCAGAAGGGAGAGGCTCTGCAAGAAAACAGCCTTCTCCTTAATCCCAAATCAAGGAGTGTCCCTCCATGACAGCAAGACTTGACATGCATGTGCCGGACCGATCACACACCAGGGCACGTCAGTCGCAGAACGCGCCACACCCAGACTGTGCAACAGGCGGATTCACAAGATGTTTGCCAGCCGCTCGTGGTGCAGTGATGGGGCGGTAGAAATGCAAGTCACAAGGGCAAAGAGCGTGTCTGGGGGTCCATTAAAACCAAGACCTGCCTCTGTTCCAGCGTCTCGGACTCTCACGCTTCTACTTCCCTGCATGAAACCAACAGCGTTGCACACACCTCTGCATAATAAATGCACAGCCCGTGTGTGAACTAAGGCCTTGCTACACATAGAAGTTTTCCTATTTTAACCCTGCTAGAGATGAAACCTCCTACTGCTGATCGAACGATACCTGTATAATAGCGCTCGCTGCTATGACTGCCCTGGTCCTTGGATTTTTGCTAGTGTAGCCCTGTCAGCAAAATACTGCTCCCCTTACTGGCCTCATAAAACATTTCAAATGGAGAAAGTGTGCTTTTCCCAATCAAAGTAGCTCCAGGGAGCGAAGCCAGAGGAGCACAGGACTGCATCGCTGCGTCCCCAACGAAGAAGCCTTCCCCCCAGGGGGTGTGTGTCCACACGGGGCTGACCTGGGGCATCAAGCTCAGCTCTGGTTTGTTTGATCAGATGGACACCCTGGTTGGAGACCCCGGGCAAGCCGGTTGACAGAGAGGTGGGAAACCCCTTGAGGAGGTGCAGGGCCAGACAGATTTATAAAGGGGCATCACGATGCTTTCCATCTTGGCCACAATGCCTTCCTTCATCACTCCTAACATGTGGCTTGCCTCCTAGATGGGTGCTGAGCCCTGAGCCCACTTTCCTAGCTGGCTGTTCATAATTACTCCCTGATCTCTTTCCTGGGTCGTAACAGACTGTTCTCAGTGGGGCCAGTGACAGGACAAGGAGCAATGGGCTCAAGCTGCAGCAGGGAAAGTTGAGGTTGAACATTAGGGAAAACTCTCATGAGGAGGGTGGTGCAGTCTCCATCCTTGGAGGTGTTTAAGACCTGGGTAGACAAAGCCCTGGCTGGGATGATGGAGTTAGGGCTGGTCCTGCTTTGAGCAGGGGTTGGACTAGATGTGACCTCCTGAGGTCCCTTCAACGTCTGTGATTTCTATTATAATGGCTGGCTAGCAAAGACGGAAACCTCGGGGCAAGCTGGCCTGGGAACGAGCCCTGCTGGGGCGAGCGCTGTGAGCAGGGCAGGGCAGGGCTGGGGCGGTGGGGGCACACAATCACACTCATATATGCACATAATCACACTCGCTCACACTCTCTCCTCCCCAGAGCTGCCCACGTGCGAGGCCTCCCCTCCAACTACATTTCCCGCCGCGCCCCGCGCCAGCGCCCCGGCGCCCATCCCCTCGGCTCACCCCTGGGCTTGTCCGGGGAGACCCCGTAGCTGGGGCAGCCCCGCCCGACTACGGTTCCCGGCGTGCCCCGCGCGGGCCGCGC